TCTTCCCGCCCGGACCTCCTTTAGGTCCCAAACACTAAACCAAACATGACAAACCATCTAGATACCATCTAAACGATATGGAACACAATTTTAATTATTTTCCAAACTCTCTCTAATTTTCGGGATATTACACAAGGTACAACTAAATTTATGGCACTCAAACTAGACACGAGCAAGACTTATGGAAATGATGAGTTTTTGCAAAAGTTGAATGGAACTAATTATGGAGTGCGTGACCTCCTCATGTTACTATGTCCCTTTCGATGAAATAAAACTTGGAGCAATGTTTCCCACAAGAGAGATTAGATGGAGGATCCATTGTCCTTTTGTCGCAGAAGGTTTGTCTTCCCTTATTCGTAGACAAGAAGAGTATGGCGCACTGCATGGGATGACAATTGCACGGGGGCACCAACGGTGTTACATATTTTTTGGCTAATGATAGCTTCTTATTTTTCAGAACTTCCACAGACGAGACTGAAGTGGTTAAGGAAATATTGCTAGAATATGAGGAAGCTTCAGGTCAGATAATTAACTTTGACATATCTTCACTTACTTTTAACCCAAATGTAAGTGGGGACTTGAGAGAGGTGGTAAGGGGTATCCTTGGAGTTGGAAATCATGAACAATAGGAGAAATAACTCAAGCTACCATCTTTTGTTGGTAGGAATAAGAGGGAAGTTTTGAGCCATCTCAAAGAGAGGGTGCTCTCAAAATTAGGTTATTGGAATCATAAATTTCTTTCTGGGCAAGGTTGGAGGTTATGGCAATGTTTGGAAATTGGCTTTTAGCTGTTAGTTGATAGCTGGTTGCGGTAGCTGTTTAACAATAGCTGATTGTATCAGTTGTTTTAATCGGCTAGTTATTTTAGCTTATTGTATGCAATTGTTTGGTAAACTTGGTTATTTAAAAATAGCTGTTAGATTATAAAAAGATGTATGAGGACATTAGTATAAAAATAATACATCAACCAATAACAACAACAATAACAGATATAACAACAACAACAACAATAATAGCTTTAAAATAGATAAGAAACATAATTAGTATGGAAATTAAATATTTGTATTGCAATTTCAATTTGCGATTAGTACGGATATGGCCTGATTTATGATTGTAAAAGAAGCTAAATATTAGATCATAATCACGAGAAAAATGAATAAATTAATAAATATGCATATGGAAAAGTTTTACATCAAAGTTAAATCAACTATGGAATGCTTATGCAAAAAGGAAGATGGATAGAGTGGCATCAACCATGAAGGGCATAAAGGAGAGAGAGCGCACAAGCAGATTCTAAGCGTTACATTATGCGGCGTGTTCATATTTGGCAGGTAGGGTCTAATGAGCCAAACAATAAATTTAGTTGCTCAGATGGTCAAACTCATTAATTACAGTCAAAGAAGCTGAAAAATGGCTGATCAACCATATCCCAAACAAGGCCTATCTAAAAAACGGTTATTCTCAAAATGCCAACTTATGTTGTGAACGTTTCTCTTTTACCATTAACTTTATGCATTGGAGTGGATGAATAGTTATAGGTGGACGAGTGAGGGAGGAGGGAGTGGGGCGACACTTAAAGGGATACAATTGAAGAGATGAGAGGGTATATGTGAGATGGTAAGGGTGCATGGGGGGCTTAGGCTTCCGGCTTCATGAGTTTAATCTTACTATGTTAGGAAAGCAGGCTTGACGATTGATTACTCAAATCGAAATATTAACGAGTAAATTTTTCCAAGAAAGGTATATATGATCAAATGTCACTTTCTTGTAAGCGGAGCTCAGAAATAACACCTCTTTCATATGGAGGAGTATTTGGGAAGTAAATAGGGGGGGATCCAAATGAGATTGTGCAGAAAGGTAGGGGTGGATAGAATCTCGATTTGGGGAATCATGGTTGCGTGACACGTTTAATCCATTTTTTCAAATAGAGTTATTTCCTGAGTTAGCGAACACGACAATATCTTTCTGCTTATACCGGAGGAACGAGCTTGGGAAATGGATGTCCTGGATGATATCTTTGAAGAGTGAGACTAAAACGTCATCTTAAGAAACTCGTTGAGCTTACGAGGGGGATGTTGGAGTGCTATGGATGGGAGAGTGGAAGGAAACGTATATAGTAATTAAAAAATGCTTACATGATGTTGCTGGGGGGCTAGAGGCTACAAAGTCGATCGGGTAAAAGGAGATGTGGTCGCTTGCCTTGCCGCCAAAAGTAAAGATCCTCTTCTGAAAGCCTTGTTCACATTGCTTGTGAGTGACAGATGCACCCATGGGGCGTATGGTTGATTGTGACTTTCAACTTGTGTGAACATTAGATAGAGTGTACTCATTGTATTTTCATGGTATGCACCATAGCACAATAGCACTGGAGGCAAATGGCTGAGGACTCATACATAAGGGGTGACATGTGGCCTGAGATGGTTTATGACTAGAACTGAAACACAAGAGAACAATACTTTGTCTAGGATTATTATGTAATGCTAGTGTTTGTATAAGATTCGTAATGACAAGTTATGGAAAGGGAAGATCAGTTGTTGGAATACAAAATGTGACATCAGCTATTTTGGGAGCTTGGCAGACTATGTAAGAAAAAAGGTGATGGATGTACTACTGTAGGGAGTGATCAATGGCTGCGATCTCAATGGGGTACACTCAAATTAAATATCGACATGGCTACCCGGCAGGGGAATAATCGATTTGGATTGGGTTGGGTGTTACAAGACAATGCTGGTGGTTTTGTGGCTGGAGGCGGACGATCATGCAAGAGATGCGTAGAGATACGGGAAGCAAAAACACTTGGTCTCCACAAAAGCACTATCTTGGATTAAGAAGGAAATTGGGTGCTCGTTGATGTCGAGACAGATGCCATGGATGTTATCCTCGGTCTACGCTCGGACCATCGATGTTCTTATTTTGATAATCTGCTTCATGATATTTTAGATCTTAAGTCTCACAATTTAGCAGATTACATTTTCTATGTCATGTTATATGATTTGGAGTGAGGAACCAACGTGTTGTATTATGGACGCTCTTCAACAATTTTTTTATATGGTGATGATACGGTTCACCACAATATTTTTATGTAATTCAATATCTTTTCACTTTTTGTACATTAAATATTAGGTCATGTATATTATTTTGAGCTCCACTCTTTGTACATTAAATTATGGTTATTAACTTAAATTAAGAATTATTTTCTTATGCAATACATATATGTTATCGTGTATATTATATGAAGTTTGTGTTAAATGTTGATTTATGTGCAATAAATACTACGTAGTAGTAGTTATGCATTAGAAAATGGTTGTTATATGTTGAAAAACATTAAATATTTACTTTAAAAATGTTAAAAAGTTAAATTAAATATTACGTATTAGTAATAGCTATCTAACTGACACGTGTCATACCCCATTCCGAAACAATGATAAAAATAGCTGACGCCGACTCCATAGATTTACCGTTCTTCCCCTTTCTTCTTTCTCTTCTTCTCATTCCTTTGGGTATGGATGGGGTCGAAATCCTTCAGATCCATATATGGTGATGGGGATTGGTGCAGGTGACAGGTGACATCGCTCTGTGGTGAGCGAAGGCAAGTGACGGCCTGGCAAATGACGAGATATATTGTACTATGAAGATGACGAAGAGAGGCGACTATGGCGGCGATGAATGTTGATGCCAGACGATGATGATGGATTGGCGGCTAGGGTTACGGGCGGTCGTGGTGGGCTAGTGGTAAGGGGGGAGAGGGGTCGTGGTTGGCTGGGGGAATGGGGTAGACTAGGGTTACGAGCGGTGGTGGGTTGGCAATTGGTGGCTAGGGTTAGGGACGAACGACTAGGAGCTGGGTTGGCTGACGGGTCATCTGGCATCAGGTTACAAAAAACAGGTCATTGTTGGCGGGGCTATGTAACTATCACAATAGTGGAAATCTCACTGGGCAGGTGGTCACAAGTGCCAAGGTAGTCATGGCCAGGACCTGGTCACTGGCGGCATGGGTGGTCACCGGCGGCATCCAATCACTTACATCGTTCAATCACCGAGCGGAGTAGGTGTCATTGTCACTAGGTAGACATAGTATGATGTAAATGTAACCGAAGAGGGCGTAAATGCCATATAAATCTTGATTTTTTTGAAAATTTTAAAAGTGATTCTAATTTTGTTCAAAACTTCTATTTTTGTACACACTCCTAGTTGACTGTGTACACATGCAATTAGAGAGTGTGTACATAAAATGTATACAAATTTTGTGTACACAAGCAATTAGAGAGTGTGTACATAAAATGTATACAAATTTCGTGTACAAATAGCTTTTCCTTTAATTTTTATAGGCGAAATTGACACCAATGATCTCTACTTTTACACATTTTACAAAAATAATTCCTACTAATAAATTTCACAAAAATAGCCCCTTCTAGTTAAGTGTTTAATAAAAATAATCCGAGTGCTTACAGTGTTAATTTTTCTGTTTTTTTTTTAATTTTGAATATATCAAATAAAAAACATGTATAAAAATAATAATATTATATTTAAGTTTAATCTTTTTCTACGATAAATTTAATTTAATGTTTAAAATTTTTCATAAAATATAAAAGAACTTTCCGTATTAAATATTCAATACTCTACATAATTTGTATTAATATTTAATGTAGTATTACTAAAACTAATTTGAAATATCTATTATAATGAATAAAAAATGAATATAAATAAAATATGGATAAAGAATAAAAGAGGATAGAGAATTTGAAGAGTATATACCGTGTAGTGTGGAAATATTTCTATTATGTTTTATGAGAAATATTAAATATTATATTAAATTTTTAATAGAAACAAAATTAAACTCAAATATAATATCGTAAATTTTTATATATATTTTCATTTCAATATATTCAAAAAAATAACCGAAAATTAACTAATTGAAATTATTGTTGTGAACATTTAAGTAAAAATTATTTTTATAAAATACATATGAATTATTGGGATCAATTTCACATTTTTTACATGATCAACCAATTTTTTATGTGATCAACCCACATCCACTGCCTGCCTCGGCTGTTTAGCCTTCTTCGCTAATCCTTTACAAGCAAATAGTACTATAGTGTCTGATTTTTAGGGGATGAGAAAATATTGAGTTTTGTAGATTGAAGTTTTAAAATTGATCCGCTCAGCAACGATCCTGGATGCGGTTTAAATGGTCTCGGTCCTTCTTCCTTGAACGAGTCGCTGCTACCATTGATTTTCTGTTTGCATACAGGTAAGCCACTAATCTTCTATTCTAATTTCTGCCCTACTTTTGTTTCATCCATATTCCTCCATTTATTGATTATTTTAGTGACATTTCTTATGTTCTTCCATTCCTCTACATTTCCCATCCATTCGCAGGATACACAATTATTATAATTAGGCTTGCATTTTCATACTTCCCCTCCTTTGATTTCCAAACAGTTGTAGAAATATGCTTTTTCAATTTTGGTTTAGTTAAAACATTATTCCTATGGTGCTCACAAAAGCACATTTCTAGAAACAGTTAGGTTCTTTCTGTCCAGTCTCCAACAAATGGGTTCGAATGTTTCTATTTTTACTTCTAGACACACTGCAATCTTTTCATTTTAGAGAACCTGGCTTTTTGCTGTTGTGAAAGTTGTCTGACCACTTTTTATAATGGAAAACGTTTATGCATTTTTCAATACAAACAATTTTTCCAGCTGAACCATGTTCTAAATTAGTAATGCACATTTTCCAATTCAGAATGCCCTTACATTGGAGTTCATAGAACCCCTTTCTTACTGCTCTTAAATGATAAGTATGTAATAGGAGCCATACCACACACGTCTATAGGCTACAAGATTCATTTTTTTAAATTGAGCTATGCATATGAATAAGCATTACCCTTTTTCTCTACTTTGGTTGTATTATGCTGAGGGCATATATTATTTATATATATATATATATTAAAATAGAACTTATTGACTTTGATAGAGTGAATAATCACGGGGGATATTTTATGTGTTGGCATTCCTGTTTTTACTGGACACAAATGGGATGGATAAATTTGTTAGGAAGATTTAGATGCTAAATGGAGATAGAAGTAAGAATAATACTAAATATACTCCACATTTATGTTGAAAGTATCATCAAGAAATATAAGTTGATGCTTATGAAGAATTTACACATTATGAACTAATGTAGGTGAATGGACGATCACTTATATATCATGTGATCATTAACTATGTCAAGAATATCACTGCTTTTTGAGGATTTTTTTGTAATCAAGTTTGATCTTGTAATTTGTTTGATATTATTTCTCTTCAATATTTATATTCTAAAACAAATTGAAATGGTTCCGAATAGCATCCTCGAAATTGCATTAAAATTTTAGTGATGTTATTTTATTTATATGATCTACTGATATTTCATTTGATTGTCTTATATTGCTCTGTAGTATTTAGTTATTGAATAGGCTTCCACCTAATATGAAGAGATTCTGTTGTACTTTTTTTGAAAGCCTGCAATTAAAATAAGGCTATTGCGGAAATGCTACTGCTCAACTTGATCTCTAATGTGAGGCCTATACTTGTGAAAATGCATTCTCTCAATATTCATTTCTTGAGGAATGTTAAGTAATTCCAATTTAAACTTAGTTGAGTTAGTTCTTTTTAGAAGAATTGGTTTTTGAATTTTGATGAAGTAATTCTTGATTTAGCTGCCTGTTATTTATCTATCTGAATATAGGCATGTTATGAAATCTAAAATCATAAACTTATATCCTACTCAGATTTTGACTAGATTATGAAGCAGTGGTTCTTGTAGCTCTCCTACTCTTCTTCTTTAGTCTCTCTCACCAAAAAATGTAAGCCCTTAGGTTTGTCTGCCTGACTTTTGATGTGCTATGTATTAACTAAGGACTTGCGTAGTTTCTAATGCATATAGATTATTATTATTGCTCGTTAACTGGACAGCTATTCATGCTTCGTGCACTCCATTTACATTTTCTCTTCATTTTGGGAATAACTACACTGTTTGCATCTTAAACAGACACCTGTTCTCAAACTCAATTGATATTCTGATTGAAGCTCTTCACATCAGAGTCAATATATTGTTCCTTAGTGAAACTTTTAATAATGTTTCTTTTAAGTAATGCACTATGCATTTAAATATACTCATATACTCTATTTAGAGATACACTGTGAGTACCATGGTATCCCTTCAAAATCTAAACAACATTGTTAGATATGACATTATGACTATATTTTTGGTTAGGAATTGATTAAATTAAAGTGGCCAATTTAATTAATACTCCCTCCATCTCACTATCTTTCTCCCATCTTTCATTTTCTATCCGTCCTTCTAAGTTTGTTGATTTGTCCCATACTATATTTGGTAATATTTGTGTTGTTCAAATTCATTCGTACTTTACAAATTAAGTCACAACAACCTATCTCCACTTTCCTTAGTACATGTGTTTGTCTTCCACTTCCTCGTGTCCTAAAGATAGTGAGACGAAGGTAGCATATTTAAGTGAGCTCCCTAATGTTTGGGTTTGGTTGTGTGTGGATGTGGTGCTCTTAAGTGAGAAAACCAATTTAGCATACTTTTTTGCTCAAATTAGATAATAGGTCAGCGAATAATTGGCAAATTGCTCAAATTAGATAATGGGATAATTAGGTTCAAAAGTTGTTTTTCTTTTGATGAGCATTGTCAGATTGCCTCTTATGTGTTCTGTCACCTAATCTTCATGTGTTGAATTGAGAAAAAGAAATGAAGAACCCCACATATAGTGCTACTTCCGCCTTGTTGGCAGCACAGAGTTCACTCTCGTTTACAAACACTCTCTTCATCCTGAAGTATCGGGTCACTTTACTTTTAATCGAAATAACTAAAGAAGTGAATTGTGGATCACTTTACGAAATGGTCCCTCATGTGAGACCAATTGTGTTAAACATTTCTAAGAAGTAAGAATGGAAAAGAGGTAGAACGACAAAAGGGAAAGTAGTGCATACAAAGCGGGGCAGAGAAGCTACCACATATAAACTACTCCGTAAAACATAATTTCCATACTTCTGGAGCTTCATCTGTTCTTTGATTTTTCCTAAGGGTATTTTGAATCCAGAACCTACTCTCTCCAAAACTATCATGGCATCAACAGTCATATAGAAGCTGGTTGATTCTGATTGTTTTTATTATTTCATGCCATTGTTTTATTTTTATTTTATTCAATGGTTTGTCTGACCGTGTGTCAGTAAGAGAAAAACACATAAATAGGGATTATTAGAAGTTTGTTAAGTCAGACAGTAAACTAATTGGAAGAAGCTGACCTTTTTTTAAACTTCACGGGCCTAGCTAATCTTGCCCTTATTTATGCTACACCCCAACTAACATGCCCCGATTTAGGGTTGGCATTTCTGAGCCTCTGCCCACCATGAGTTTGGTTCCTTTTTTCCACTAAATACAATTTTTTCTGTAAAAATTTACATATCAGTAGTGTTTTTTGGGAAAATCTGAGTTTGCACTCCATGATTACTTCAAATTGAGTGTTGCACCCATCCATTGAGTTTGCACCCCATGTTTACTTCTCATTGGACTTTGCACCAATTTTTTTGAACCATTGAGTTTGCAGCCTCGAGCCCTTGAACTGGGTCATATCTCTCGGACTTTTCTCTCTCTATATTTAGATTAAATATTAGACTTTACATCCCATAATTATATTAAATTTGCATCCGACATTTGTGGTTTGGGTGTGAATTCCAAGGATTTGAAAAAGCAGTGCAAAGTCCAGTTTCAAAGTGAAATACTAAAACGGGGTGCAACTCTAAATCTCCCTCTTATTATCATTCCTGCCTAAATTCAAATTCTTAGGAGCACCGGGTTTTTCCTTCTCAGAGAAGATCAATGATATCCTTTCCAACTCCATCCTGTCTAATGTAAAACACTGATTATGGCTTTTTGGCTTCCACAAAGATGAGAAAAATGATCACAACAATAATTCAATATAATCTTCACTTTCTTCACAGTTTTGAGAGGGACTATATGAAAGAATCCATTAATAATAATACAAAAACAACATACATTGAGGGACATCCTAAACAGATATTATAAATATGACCTAATGGACTGATGGGGTATCAGAAAACCTAGTCTCTTGTGTGTGGTAAATAGAATAACACTTTTCATCATTGAGAAGTCTTTGCGTACTTGCGGAATCATGGTGTTTCACAATGGTTAGTTATCTAATTATTTCAACAGTATACATTAATGATCGCTTACAATAGATACCCATATCAAGACCTTTTCAGCATCAAGTTGGAGGGAGAGTGTGAAGGACAATGGAGGCAGCGCTGGGATTGATGAGAAGAATGCCACCAAAGCACATGGAGACGGCCCTCTCTGCTTTGCTCAGCCTCTTGCCGGATCACTCATCTGATCTCCTTTCTCAGGTGGATCAGCCTCTTCAGTCTATGTGTGATCTGGAAACTGGGAAAGAATTTATATTGTGCGAATACAACAGAGATGCTGACTCATATAGGTCGCCATTGTCAAATACTTATCATCCACCATTAGAAGATGGAGCTTTTCCATCTGCAGAGTTAAGGAAACTTGAGATTGAAGCAAATGAAGTCTTTGCTGTTTATCGTGACCAGTATTATGAAGGCGGCATCTCATCGGTTTACATGTGGGAAGACGAAAATGAAGGTTTCATTGCCTGCTTCTTAATAAAGAAAGATGGCTCAAAATCTGGACATGGTAGGAGAGGTTATTTGCAGGAAGGTGCCTGGGATGCTATACATGTTGTGCAGGTGGGCTCAGAGGATGAAGGGACGACTCAGTACTCCCTAACCAGCACGGTGATACTTTCTTTGACGACAAACAATGAGTCCTCTGGCACCTTCAACTTGTCAGGGTCTATTAGAAGACAGATGAAGATGCATCTCCCTGTGTCCGAGGGTCATTTATGCAACATGGGAAAGATGATCGAGGAAATGGAGGGAAAGCTTAGAAATTCGCTCGATCAGGTTTATTTTGGTAAGACGAAAGAAATGGTCTGTGTTTTACGCCCTCCTTCTGAGCTTGTTCAAACAAAACTGCCTGCCACCTAAGAATTTTTATCCCATCTCTTCGATGGGCATTCTTAAGATACACCTCCAGATGTGTTACTACTGCCAACGAGTTTATTTATTGTTATTTCATTTATGAATTCAGTTACTTCTAGTGTCACAAGAGGACTTGAGTCCTATTGGTATAATTACATACTGATTACTTCTTTTTAAAAAAAAGATGACACCCATCTTTGAAAGTACCCCGGCTCTGCCAAACAGTTATATGGAAGAATGTAAATTGAGTTTTGATCATAGTCACTGACATGTTTATATAAAGCCATTTACCATATTGATTTTTGTGGTTTGTCTAACGGGTTAAAAAAAATTAAAAAAAAGGAAAGAGATCCTATCAATCCTTCCTACAAGAAAGAAATCACAAACCTTTTTGTTACATTTCTTTATGTAATTGTACCAAACTACCAATAATTGACTCAAGGGTTCATGCTAGGGAAATCAGTGAAGCATATAAGACGGGCTCTGCCTTGAAGTGATACATTTGGCCCTCACGCTCAATTATAATTACTAAAATAAAATTGAAGAACTCATGTTTTTACTACACTAAGCTTATCCTCTCTTATCGTGATGTAAAGGAGTGTTTGCTATTACTTAGAAAAAGCACTTCTCGGCTTTTAACTTAAAAAAAGCTGAAAATGGTGTTTGCAACATGCTTTTACTTAAAAAAAGCACTTTAAATCTAAAAGCTGGAAGCTGGTATATATTACTCCCTTTGTCCCGATCATTTCTTCCGGCTTTGAGTTGGTTCGCAAATTTAGATAGTGAAAATAAAGTGGAAATGTATGGTTGTAGTTGTGTAAGAAAATGTGAATGAATGTGAATCACATATTTTTTTTCAAAAGTGGAAGCTGGAAGAATTAATTGGGACGGTCCAAAAAGGAAAGTTGGAAGAAATGACCGAGACGGAGGGAGTAACTTCTAACTACTTCTATTTTTGTTTTTGTAAATAACTGAAACTATTTGGATAATTATAATGCCAATAAAATTCATCTAACCCCCAAAATACCCTGCAATAATTATAACCCATATGCCGGTCTCCACTCTCCATATCCGTCCGTCGTTCCATATGAGTAATTGCTGTTATGATCGGATTGTAGACATAACAATATTTTCGCTGTTTGGTAGTAGTATTTGTATTTTGGAATTCCAAAACAGTTCTACTCCTATCTCATGATTTTTCCATTCAAATAATATATCATAAACATCTCTTATACTAGTATATATTACCCTAAAACTTGGATTCAAAAAGTCAAAGAGAATAATAGTAATGCGTAAAGTAGAATGTTTGAGAATGTATGGAGTGGGAATATCAACTTTGTACCATCTTTTAAATCCTTCGATAACATAGCATCTAAAAATAGTTCATCCTTTTTATTTAAGGTGATAACTCCGTTATCTTTCTAAAAAAATGGGGTACCCTACCTATCATTCATTTCATTGGACCACATCATTTTATTATTTTTAATTTAGATTTAAATAATTCAACTGCTACATTCTCATTGGTCCATGTGGACAAATGTATGATACCTTATGAGTACGATATAATCTACCTTTATTTAATCTACTCCCTTCGTCCCTAATAACTTTGCCAAGTTTAACCGGCACGATGATTAATAAATTAAAAACTATGTGGCTGAGGTTTGTGCAGAGGAGAGAGAATTAAGTGAAATCACAAATTCTTTACTAAAAATGGAAAGTGGCAAAGTTAATGAGACATCCAAAAAAGGAAAGTTGACAAAGTTACAAGGGACGGAGAGAGTATTTAAAAGCACGGAATTCATCTTTTAACTTTTGTTTGACCTTGAACCATACCGTTAAATTTGCTGGATGTTCCATTATGATATTCGACTTTACAATCTCTGGTGTGCATCATCATCAAATTACTCCCTCCGTCCCTAAATTTACTTCCAACTTTCCCTTTTCGTCCGTCCCAAAAAGAACTTCATTTTCCCCTTTTGACAAAGAATTTGTGGTTCACAACATTTCTCTCTCCTCTGCACAACTCTCCACCACACAATTTCCACTTTCTTAATCACCGTGCCACTTTAATTTGGAAGAACATTTAGGGACGGAGTAGTTAATATGTGTTGTAAAATTAAATATTAAGGTATATATTTGGGGTGAGTGTTATGATACATTACAAATAAATGAGGGCGTCGTACCGAATATAGATTCAATTGGCTCGAGTCATTATCTAATTATTACTCTCTCCAAATAACTTCCCTTTTTGGTCCGTCCTAAAATAATTGTTATGTTTCTTCTTTTAACAATAATGTGTGCCTGGTATCAATTCACCTTTTTCTATTCAAATCTCAATCACAAATTTTAGTTTTTCAACTATTTTCTTAAAACCTGTGCTAAAACAAACAAGACGTTTATTTTGGGACGGAGGAAGTAATATTTAAATGGTTCAATTGTAATGTTCTATTTCACATAAGCAAGTTAAAAAATATTCCCTCCGTCCCCCTAACTTTGTCCCGTTTTACCTTTTTCGTCCGTCCCATACCATATTTGGTAATATTTGGATAGCTACAATTCATTCTTATTTTATTCACATTTTATCAATTTAATACCAACCACACATTTCTATTTTTTCTTAAAAATCCCACAACACCCCTTTGTCACAAACATAGGGGAAGGAGGTAGCAGTATGTGATCTTGAATAAAACTAAGTTCTATGAGTATGCTAGTAGTACTTTTCTGAGTCAGACAAAATATTCCTCTCACTGATTTTTCCAATTTTTAAATGGTAATTGACATTGTAATCGATCAGAAATCTGAAAAGGTTTTGTCTAGGTAACCAGTTTATTGGTAATTCAAAAAGAACATTGATGCGGATAAGAAAAATGAGTAAGAGCACATGGAAATGGATGATAGAGACAACTCGATGACAATTGGAGGACCTATATTTCTGAAAAAACACAAATAATATAGTCAAAGATACCAGCTTGGACAAATCCCATGGGCTGCGGCAAAATTAATTAGGAGAAATGAAGAATCTAATTTGTGAGATATATGGAAGGGATAAGGAGTCAATATATCATCGGATTATATTTTATATGTTAGTGAATTCATGCATCTCGGAACATTTGTTTTAAGCTGCTAAATTAATTAGGAGAAATGAATGTATAAAACAATACGTTCATTTGTCAAATCAAAGCAACTCTCAATGTTCTTTTTGCAGCCAATCGGGGGCTGCCACATTTAGCGGAGAGCACGGGTCGGGTTCGGGCGGGTCGGGTTCATAAACTATGAACCCGTTCGGGTATCGGGGTAATATTTTACAACCCAATCCTTAAAGGAAATGGTAAAAATATTTCAGATATTTTCATTTTCGGATTTTGTCGGGTATGGATCGGATTTCGGATATTTCGGATATCCAAACTTTTGTAATAAACTACTAATCTACTAAACAGTTTAGTTTTTTTGACATTGGATGAAAAATTATAACACAATGAACAAAATGTACGCAATATATAACTTACATAAGGCCTTAGACCAGAAGGGATATAAGTGTTTAAGTGCTAATACACCGGGGAATACACAAATACACAATAAGAGTTTGAGTGATAACTGATAATTGTTTAACACATAACAGAAGCGACAAAAATTACACAATATAAGGGGCATACCCCAATTCATAAAGAAAGACAGTTAATGAACTTACAAGTTCATCAACTTGCTAACCAAGTAAAACTTAAAAGTTTTCAAAACATAACAAAAACACTCCATAAGCGCCCATTCAACTCCTTTATACTGTCTTTAACCTGGAACCTATAAAAAAATACAAAAATGTCATCAAGTACACATCAAGCATCTAAACAAATAATAGTATAATACTGTAAAAACTGTATTCATCACACTGTAATGCATAAAAATTGACTCAGATAGCTGTTTTTCAGATCATATTTTGTATGGGGCATATTATATCAAATAAATGATGACAACTATTGTAATTATTGTTACCTAGCCATAACTTAACAGAACACCAACCCATGACAAATCAGTCTGTTGTGGAAGCTTCATCATAGCCATGTAAATGATTGAAATGATAAAGGAAGAATAAGCTTGTATTACCATTACACAATTAACAAGTGGCATAGGCTCAGATAGCTTATTTTCGAATTCAAATTTTGAATGGGGGCATAAACATTTGAAGTAAATGGGTGCAACTATAGTTACCTAGCCACCACTTAAAACACAACACCAACCCATAAAAAATGAGTTTATTGTGAAAGCTTCATCGTAGCCATTAGCCTATTACCCAATAAATGATTGAAATGATTAAAGGAGAATAAGCTTGTGTTACCATTCATTATAAGTTCACAAGGGGCAAATGTGCAATCAGCTTGTGTTACCATTCATTACTAGATTTACTGCTTCCATCATCCATGTCCAATTAACAATAAAAAATGCCAAACAAGTTAGTCATATTTAATGTTCATATATAAATAAGTTATGAAAGCAGAAATTTTACTGCAATAGGATCCTGAGAAGATCCATCAAAATGGCCATCAGGACCACCAGTGACATTATCATCAATTAATTTTGCAAAAAAAGAACAAATCAGCCTGTTTAATGTAAAAGAAAACATATGAAGTACATTATATGTAAACCAACAACAAAAAAATAAAAAATTTGACCTATTTCCAGCCTTTGCACTTCATCTATATTTTCTTCAACTGAGATAGGGAGGTTTTGATTTCTTAGCCAATCTTGAGTACAAATTAAAGCTTCCACAATTTTTGGACTTAATGAACTTCTGGAACAGTCCAACACTCTGCCACTAGTACTAAAAGTGGACTCAGAAGCAACAGTAGAGATTGGAACAACTAGAATATCTCTAGCCATTTTTGAGAGGATACGAAACCTCTCAATGTTTAACTTCCACCACCTTAAAATGTCAAAATCTGTATCCTCTTCAATTATGGCCTCAATCAAGTACATTTCAGCCTCATTTTGTTTCAAACCCAACTGCCAAGCCTCAAATTTCTGTTTTTTAAGCTGGGCTTTCAATTTGGAGACAGGTCTAGCAGACACAAGCTCTAATTGCGTATGAGAGGCAGTTGAGCTTGAAATAATGCTTCCAGTACCAGAATCAGAGTAGTTGGACACATAATCATTAAATAACTCATACAAAGCAAGCTTGATTTTTTCAAAGAACTTCACACCCTTTGGTTGAGTATAAAGGGCATTTAGTTGAAAAGGCATGTATTCAAGCTTGTCCCTTGGGT